AACTGTAGTTAATTTCTTCAAATAAACACACATACATATATATCAATATCCGTAGGTATAACCAACAACAAAAATGTTTTCTCACGTTTAAAAATCACTTCAAGTCCTTAGGTATTTCCTATTTCCTTACTCAATACATAGTTATAAATATAATAACAGAATAAACACATTCACCCCACACACATACTATTATAATGAAATCGAAGCTTAATAAATAATTTCTACAATAAATTACAAACTTTCTCCAAATGAAATTAATTGCTTTACAAAGTATCCTAAGGTTACGTAACTCGGTTTAGTTAAACTATTAGTATCGGTTCAATCAGGCCGCCATCTTAGTGTGGTTACGATATTAAACTCACATTTGAAGAGAGTATTATAATCGTATTAAGAATTCTAGTTAATTAGAAGTTTGACCTCAACATTAAAATATTTGTTTTATAGATTTGTGTAGTTAGTGGTTACAATTGCCTAGTTAATTTAGGAATTTAATGCAAATAGAAACGATTAAGATCAAACCTTTAAAAACGTTTTCTAAAATACCTACTTTTGTATCATGGTTAGTAATAAAATTAAGTGCTTGCACTTTTTTACAAAATTAATTTGAAGGCAAGTTTTTATGATAATTAACTGCACTGTGTAAACCGGCTGTCAAGCAACGTGTCGCGGGTTCGACACTCGCACGTAATAATTCATTATGTGATCCACAAATTTTTGTTCCGGGTATAGGTTTTTTTTTTTTTTTTGTGAGGGGTAAATCATCAAATGACTTCTCCCGCCCAGGGCCGGGCAGGAGGGAGTGTCAGACTCTTACTGACTAAAAACCCCCCTGTTCCTTCTCCTGCTCTGTGCCGAGGTCGCGGTACCTTATTGCGCTTACCCCGCAGCCCCGGCTGAACATCAGCCCTTTAGGGCCCCGTCTGTGGTGGTCTATTGGCTCTTTGAGGCGCGCGCGGAACGCTACGCGCCGTACGCTCGGGCCTGGTTCTGGTCGGGCGGCGAGCTGCCCTTACTCGCCGACCGCAGGCCCGTACTTACGGTGGCCGGAGATCGTCCCTCGATCCCCGACGCCCGTAGTGTCGCCAGTTGCGGCTGCTGGGGCGTGAGGAGGAGGATTGCTCCCTCACGCGGGCCGCCTCTCTCTTTGCGAGCATGACCGCTTCACAAAAGGAGGAGACGGCGTCCCAGTTCCTCTCACTCCGCACCATGGCCTCGACTAAGGCCGGGCGCGAGAGGTCGCCGCCGCCGATCACTTCCCTGAGGATACGGCGGTGCTCAGCCCAGGCAGGGCATACCGCTACCGTATGCTCCACCGTATCCTCTAGGTGGTCCTCACAATGACGACACTCGGGCGTTTCCTCCCGCTGAATCCGAAACAGGAACCTACCGAAGCTGCCGTGCCCGGTAAGCACCTGCGTCAGACGGAAGGTGAGGACGCCGTGGCGTCTCTCAAGCCACTCCTCAAAGAGGGGTCTTACCGCTGCTATGGTAGCGTGCCCGGCCCTCGGTTGCGACAGTCGTTGTCTCCACTCTGCCATGAGATCTCGCCGGAGCTCATTCCGCCACGCATTTATTTGGCGCGGCAGAGGATCTTCGCCCCGGCGACGCGCGTCTGCGCGCAAACTGTAGACGCGCGCGAGCGCCTTCGCTTCTAGATCCCACGGCGGTGATCCGGCAAGGAGGTTCGCCGCCTCCCCGGAGATCGTGCGATACCCGCGGATTACTCGTATAGCCATGACTCCGGGTATAGGTGCGACGTGAATATGATATTGTTTGTTTGTAAACACAAACACGAGAGGGGAGAAAATCTGTGACACAAAGATTACTTAAAAAAAACTTTAACTTTTATCACGCCGGGAGACATTGTATAATTTTGAATATTAATTACTTAATAAAATAAGCTTAGTCTATTTACTGACTGGACTTACCTATCAAATAAGTAAATACACCGACAATTTTAGCAGTAGTTAATTAAATGACAGACGAAAGCTAATCAAAATTAATTCACAAAAATCTTTGAAGTCTCTCTAAAAACCTTATGCGGATATTAAATTATCATATTTTACAAATTCCGTTTCAAAATAACAATAACAATAAATAATTCGATCCGACCATTTATTACAATCAGGTAAACAACGGACATTTCAAAATTACTTATAAGGAAATTGCAAATGGTGTATTAATATGAGATGTAAAGCTGTCAATGCGGCATTCGATCATTGTTACGTAAGTCGCACGTTGTCGAGCGGTGAATGGGAGGCATTATTGCCAGTGAAAGCAATGACCGGTGCCATCTTTACAAAAAAAGAAAAATGTTTAGTTTATTTATTTATGGGAACTACAGCAGGTCAACTTGCACTAGATTAGCTATTATTTTTATGATTTTGAGCCTTGCGTCTTTGTTTTAAAGTTTAAAATCTCGTTTGAGATAACGTGGTAGGTTGAAGTGCTTGTGTGTACACAGTATTAAATCACATCGTGTATGTTATATAATTATTTTTGTTTTGTTTACAAAGGGCTCGACAGGTTACGGAAGTAAATGATCAAAGACAATGAAAGTTTTTGTCGGCGGAGTCGTGAACCGAAACTATTCAATTGGGGGACTGTCCAAGTACCTTCTGTACAATTAGGTTATAATGCTGAGAAATTTTAAAATGTTTACTTGTTTTAAATGATACTTTTAATTATTAACTCGCGTAAGTGAGGTTGCTTGAGACCAGAGGCAATCCTCAATCTCACAACCCCCATTCATTATACCTTTAACCCCAAATCTCCACACTCTTATCCCCGATGTTTCCATCTCACATCTCACTTGTAAGTCTGAAGTTGCGAATGACCATGGGTAACGCTGATCGCTTGTCACCAGGTGATAGGATTACCTACTTGCCTAATCAGGAGATAAAAATTATTAGGTAGTAGTTAGTAAATGAAATTTCGAAAAACTTTAAAAGTCGAATAATCGTTCCAATCATCAGCCTATAAGTGTCCACTGCTGAGCAAATGCCTCTTCTCACACGGAGAATGTTTGACCATTATGCACCACGCTTATTCAAGGCGGATTGGCGTTATTAAACTTATAATTAGAACATATAAAAAGAAAATCGTTGCTCATAAAGAAATTATGCGTTTCGTCTCTTCTAAGACCTTAAGTACCTTGTGTACCTATCCAAACTAATATTATAAATGCGAAAGTAAGTCTGTCTGTCTATCTGTCTTTTCTTCACGCCTAAACTACTGAACCTATTTCTGTGAAATTTGGTACAGACATCGTTTGGAACTTCCGAAAGGACATAGGATAAGGAAATCTGCAGGAAGTCACTATTCCACACGAACAAAGTCGCGAGCAATAGCTAGTAAGCTAATAAATCAGCAGAGAATCTAGGAATTTTAAATGACATAATGGATGATAATTCCCATTCTTACCGTTAGTGACGGTTGCCACTGTGTCAGTCTATAATCTAGATCAGTTTAGTTAATCTCTATCTACATACCTACCTAACATGTAGGTACTGATTACACAATCATAGTTTAAAACCGGTATCGTCAACCATTTTTACTGAATGGGCAAAATAATAGTGTTATAGTTTAATTTTCTTGTATAGGAACTATTTGTGAGACATAAATTATTAAAAATAAAGACTTAATCACGTGAGTCAAATGAGAAAAACTCTAGTTTCGAATCACAACAAGACTTTTACTACATATTTTCCTTTTACTTATTTTCGTTTCAAATGAAGGTAAAATATGAAATAAAAAATAATTTGGTACAAACTTTTTCATAAAACGCCTACATATGCATTTCTAAAAATATATAAACGAACCTATATTGTAGTTTAAATTTGATTAAAATATAATATAATAGGTTCGTTTATTTTTCAAAAATAAACAGTCTTTTGTTACCTTTATTTTAGTTAGATTTTGTGTTTAATGTACTAAATGCCTCTACCTAACTTATTCAACGTGAGTAGTTTTAGTTATACCACCAGTTAAAGGTTGAGCATCTCTGCTCTGGATTCAAACCTGCTACCTTGATGACCGTGTCGCTAATGTGCGGGCGGCGCGCACAAAGAGCCTGCTATATTATTGTACTACAAAAACATAGTTAGACACCAGTTTATCTTGACCCATGGACGAATACGACACCTATTACAATGCATAACATCTTATTTCTGCGGCTAAATAAGTTGAGAAACGAATAAAATTGTCTAATATATACATATATAATTTTTGGGCTTTAAAACTATAGCACCTATCACTTTTGTATTTTTAGTATATATTTATAGATACTTGTGGATTTGCCTTATCATAATGTTAGTGTATTTCTTTAAGATAGTTGTTAATATTTTTTAGCAAACACTTTTAAATGTCAGCTCAAAGTTTATTTGACGACTATTCAATATCTCCTTTTTCTTTACTTATCTATTATATTATTCTGGTGCTAGGCAATCCTAATATCAGAAACAGTATCTCTAAAATATTATTCAAAAGTTCAACAATAAGAGGTCAAGATACACTGGTCGCCAGTAGCGCCACCATGTCAGTCCGCGGTAATAGGGTTAGGAATGCCGTCCCATTTCCTCGCCGACTATTTGTACCGCGACCTGTTTTTGTCCATCGTAGATTTAATGGCGCAGGTGTCGATGTCAACACGATTACCAGCAAATGATAGTGTCGACACTCGTAAATGTTTACTTTAGAATTGTTAAAATGACTTATGTTATAGTTACGACCTTCAAACCTTTAAGAAACATGTGTACAGCTTCTTCAAAGGCCGACAACGCGCCTCTGAGTCCTCTGGTACCGCAGGCGGTGCTGATCACTTACCATCGGATCAACCGTCTATTTGTTTGCCTCCTATTCCATAAAAGTTTGTTTGACACGCGTGTCTTTTACTGATCAAGAAGTTGAAGACCATTTCAGTGTTCGAAATGAACAGTAGTTTAACATTATGATATTATTATTATGTTTTATTAATTTTAGTTTTCTTTATTGCAGGTGTCTTTCTTTGGAATTCGGATACCAGAGAGGAACGAAAAACTGTAAGTAATATGTATTTACATACTATATTGTAGCACCAAACAAATCAATTCTCTAGCTAACCAACTATGAGATGGGTCTGCTAACAGCGGCAATAGCATCGTAATCATAAACCAATCAGATATATTCGTCACTAGCGTCAACCACCATAAATTGATCTCCATTAAATATCTTCCCACATATCAATCAAAATTTCCCATAAAAACAATGAAATAAGTTCGACTTTCCTCTCATTAAGGTCTATTACCCGGACCCTATCACAAACCGTATCTATGTCAATAGATATACAGAACATGATCAGACTTGCGCATGAGTTGATTTTTTTTGTTACAAGTTGCACGTTGCAACGACACACTGACTCCAATGACTGCTCGTAGGAAATCTGCATGCATAATTTCAATTTACAATTAAAAGTTGTCTAAGTACTTATGGTGAAAATTCAGGTCTGTTTTACATATTTTTGCATTGATGTTCAATTTCTACAGAAGCTGCAATACATTAAGATGTTTAAACTATTTATCACCCGCCCACAAATATGTATATAGGTATCATAATTCAATTAAAGTCTTATGTATATAAAAGAAAGCCGTGTTAGTTACACTATTTATAACTCAAGAACGGCTGAATCGATTTGGCTGAAAATCCGTAGGGGGGTAACTGAGAACTGGGAGAAGGACAGGATAGGATAGAGTAGGTAGTGTAGATATGGTAGAGTAGGGTAAGTTGAGTAGGGTAAGTAGAGTAGGGTAGGTAGTGTAGGTTAAAAATAGTAGGGTAGGTAGAGTAGGGTAGGTAGAATAGGGTAGGTAGAATAGGGAAGGTAGTCAAATGACGGGAGGGACGCCGCGGGTAAGTTTTGAATAAATAAAACTATATTTAAACTCTAGAGCTAAAATCTAGCCGTCATCAAGTAAGGTACCGCAGACCCGGCTTGGAGCAGGAAAAGGGACTGGGTGGTTGTAGTCAGTAAGAGTCTGACACTCCCTCTTGTCTTACCCAGGGCGGGGGAAATAATTTGATAAATTTTATCGCTTAATAAGCATATAGCAATTTAAAAAATTGCTATATGCTTTACATATAGCAATTTTTTTTTACGTAAACTACGTATAAATTTTTGGAATCAGACGTTACTTTGCGGAAATCCATTACATTAAATGTTATGAAAAATATTTAGTTTTTATTCCGCGACAAAATTTTAATGACGTTCAAAACTGCCAGTATTGGTCTAATTGAAATATTTTTTTTTTACTTTTGACTCTTCAAGGCTAATTCTCCCATTTTTCTACTTTCTCAAGCCGACTTCTAAATTTGAATATTAGTTTATTTATAAATAAAGATAGGTTCAAAGCTTTATTCAATTCTGCGTTGTTGTTTTCCTAACTTATTTCTCTAGTCATCAAAATTCTACTACGTCTACTACAGTCTAGCTTCCGTAACCGAATGTAATCGAATAATAAGTATAGTAATGTACCCTAGTAAAACATAATCATGCGCAGCGAATATCACTCTTCCGTAGTAAGTACATTGCTATATAAGTAGATACAATATCGTGTGCAGAATTTTAACCATGTAGCTAAATTTTACAGTCGTGCCAAATTTCAATGTCATGAATAATATTATTAAAATAGTATCTACCTATTTGTATTTAAATAGTACGGAAACAACGAAAACATGTTATAGTAGGAAGGTATCGAAGTTATAGTTTCGATAAGTAACTCTCATATGGCAAGGTAGACATCTTCGATTAGTACACAAAATAGAAATAAATCGTCAAGGAAATATAACATTTTAAGACTCAATTACGAAACTATATTACTACATATATAATGATTTCAAAATTCCCATTAAAATGTTCATTTTCCATCTTATCTCAGTAAAATCACCGATAGATGGCGTGGTGGCCAATTGAGCGTGGCGATTGGTAATGGCGGGAAGCGACCTGCGCAGGCGCATAGCTTCCGCTGCTGACGACACAGATGCCGTTTTAATGGTCAGAGAACTCAGTGACCATTACTAATATGCTTTGAATGTACTTAAGGGAATAGGTCGACGAACGAACTGATTGTCTCACTTTTTTATTAATATTTTTCATTTATAACTGTTGTGAAATACTTTGAAGGAAGTTTTATCGGCTTTTCCTATGTAGGTATGTACAGTCAGGGGTCAAAAATGCAATTGCACTCTACCAATTTTAAAATGATCAAAATATCTTTGTAGAATAGAGCCAATGGTTGAGGACTGCTTTAATTTATAGCATAGAATCTAAATTATTGTATAAGTTGGCTGTGAACCATTTAACTATTACTACAAAGGCATTTTAGTCATTTTAAAATTGGTAGAGTGTAATTGCATTTTGACCCCTGACAGTACATACATAGGTTGGGTGTAAACCTTTAAAACTCTTTTAAACCTCTGTACTCGGTTAAAGAAAAAACAAAGATAAAGTTGTTAAATAATATATTTTGGTTCTTTCTTAACATTTGTTCCGTTCCAGTGTATCCGATTATTTTACGTAAATTGCTTTTAAATTAAATTCAATAAATCACAAGTTTCACATAATCGAATAATTACCTACATAGAGAAAATAACATATTACTGATATTCAGTTATTAAATATAAAATCAATCATGTCTTAAATAAAAACCTTATTTTATTTAAACAATTATATATTTCCTGATACCTACCTCATTATTGGCCAGTGAAACACATTTTTTAAATAGTTATTATTTTTTATAGCATATGCCTTCCGTTACATGAAAATAAATTTATTATTTCAATTGATTACATAAACGTGATGTAAAATGGACACGCGATTTGCACAAAATTTTTAATTCAGTTCTATTATGATAGTCCTTGTTATCTTTATATTGCAATAATATGGTATGGTGTCCAATAAAAAATATTTCTAATCTTACATATTTTACTAATTATTACTTGTTTAGTTAATATATGGAAATTGGAATTATACCGGTGCATGGTAATAGGCCTATCCTCAAACACTTGGAGCTCTTATCATAGTTATTATGATCTTGGCCAAAGCGGATTGGCGTTCTCAAAATAAAAATCAGTAATTATAAATCCGGAGAGCCATGCTTCGTCATAATAGGTCGGCTTGACCGGAGTTATACCACGACCTCACAGAGTACTGGCGTGAAACAACCAAAGCGTTGTGTTTCCCTATTAGTTGTGAGGCCCTATTCTTCCACTCCCCCAATCCCAAAATCTCCAAATCCAGATTTTGGGATTGGTATCAATAAAGGCCGGCAACGCACTTTTAACTCCAGGCGGCGCTGATTGCTTACCATCAGGTAACCCGTCTGCTCGTTTGCCGACCAATTACGTGAAAAAAAAAGTTTCCCCACGATATTTTCCTTCACCGTATAAAAGTGGTGTCTAAATAAATGTAGAAATAACATTATATTTACGCGACCTGTGCAACCGGCTCGAAACGTCAAGCCTACCAAGGTATTCAAATTATAATTTTCCGCGTTAATACCCGCGTAAATATAATGTTGTTAAGATGAAACGCGAAAGTTTAAATGTAGAAATAAATGAAACATATCACTAGACACTAATACTAAGTTAAGAATAAGTAAGTAATCGCATCTACTTCGCTTCGCACTCATTACCCTAGTTTTTTACCGATTCGTGGTTTTAGAAACGAAACAATTTTTAACTGTCTACTTCACACAGTAAATATGTATGTAGTTTACTTTGTTTTAACTTGTAGTTCAAATTCTTTATGTTTGTTTTGTCTTGGACAAGTTAGGATTAAGTCAAAATGAAAAAAAAAACAAGCTTTAATTTTTCTTACCCTAAAAATCTACATATAAATTGAAAAAAAAATACAATTCATTGCCTATCAATCAATCAATCAATTTTAGTCTCTTTAATGTCACGATAAAGGTATGAAACAAATCTAAACAAAAAAATCAAGGTCACTAAGTCACACAGAAAAAAAAAACGCAAAAAATTGAAACCGATATCATAAGAATACTACACCAAGTTTTTTACATTATGATCCGGTCGAATTACCAGCATTTCCGCTCTATTGGTTCCACACATCTTCCGTTATCAGTGGCGACTGACCAGCGGACACGATCGATAACACATTCCGGTGTAACAGCTTAACAGCCGGTACTGGCCAGTAGTGATTGAGGAATGAGTGCGTGCGCGCAGCTCGCGTCATACGATCTCATCTGTCACATAGCTGCGCCGGCGCAGAGTTCCCACGAAACTGCAAACTATTTGAAAGGTGAAAGACATTTCGAATGATTGTGGTTTTTACAGGGATGTCGACTAGGTACATGTGCTGTTTGGTTGCACTCACTTCATAATAATAAATATAACCTTTATTTAGATCAATACTTTTACGGTTACCAGTATCCACACAACAAAAACAAAACATTTTTACAGTAGGAATCATGCCATAAAAGTACACCTACATTGATAAAGGCCAAGTCAAAATTATTTATTCCAACTAAACCATAGGTACTTTTTGAACGTCAAAACGGTACTCTAAATAGATGGACTATCCATTTGCAATATAGAATTTCAATTCAATTTTCTTCAATAATTTTTTTATACACTCGATAAATTTATCACAATGCCTCGTTTGGGAGAACCGTGTTAACATTACTTGCACACATTAATCTAAGACAAACGCGTATGTGTGCGATTTTGATGAAAAAAATTGTGTTGATGATTTGTGATCTACCTTTTACAAGTAGATAGTTTAGTGTGTGTGTTGTGTATCGAGCCGCGACGCCGCAGCTTCTGCGTCGCGCTCCATTTCCTGCGCCCGCGCATTGCACAAGCCGGACAATGGCGCCCCCTACACATGTGAGGAGCTGCCTACTTACTCGTGGGGCATTGTTTGAATATCACTATGACAATGGATTTGGATTATGACCTGACTGCCCGTTCGATAGCCGTTATGCGGAATCAAAACAATGTTGGATTATTTTGCATGCATTCTAAAATGTATAAAATGTAGCTCAAG